ATCTAGAGGGAAGAGTGTAGTCTGGTCTGACCTTTGCACAATGAGACAAAGGCTTCTATTCAGGAGCTCCGGTACCTGCCATACAGTTAGGATTTAATACAACTTTAGCCGAAACGTTACCTGTGCTCTGCTTTAGAAATTAGCCTCTGGATTTAGAGTTCACTGCTCGTTGAGGGGAAAACCAAAACAAAAGCCCTTTTTAGCCCAAGTGGGTGGGTAGGTGTTGCAGTTTTAGATAAGAAAGAGGGAAACACATCTAGCAGCAAAAGAAACCCCAAATTAACGTTCATCAATCTCGGCCCGGCTCAAGCATGCACGCTTACTCAGAGCGGGCAAAGTGCCAGCCTGCGATAGGAATGGGGTATCTCGAACAGTACGTGGCAATAGGAGTGTTAGTTTCCAGCGGTGTGGCACCGCTTCCGGAGGAGCCCGGGTCATACTGCACGCGCTACTCTCCAGAACTCGCCCGGAGAGACTACGCATTTAAAAAGAGGAGGAGGCAGGGAAGCCTGGACTGAAGAATCCTTCGCATTTCATTTCTTTTCTACTGGGACTAGGAAACAGAGCTTGTAAAGTGCATTAGTAGTAATAGGACTCTCTAGTTACACGGGCCGAGCTAGTAATCCTTGCTTACCATTGACAGGCTCTCCACTTTAGCGTTTGTCTGCTGATGTAGGAAATACTGCGTGAGGAACTGGTTGATTGTTGGAGCTGCCAAGTCAAACGACAAAACCTTCAAAATTAAGTGCTCCATCCTTAGAACCTGCTTCTTGGTATAGGTGTCATCTGTGATGTAGACAAACTCTGCTACTTCAGGAGGGTAGATTTCTTCAAACTTTCTACCAGGAGAAATAGTTATGAGCAAATCATTGAGTACTAGAAAACCAGAAAACCAGCAACATTTAACGAAAGCCAGCACGCCAACTTAAATTCCGACTCGTGAAGTAGCTGGGCACTGTTACTGAACAAGCTGGCTGCCCTTGGTTCAGTAGCTCTGGAATCAGCAGAATTTGAAATTCCAGACCTACAATAGCCTGGTATTTTAGCACTAAGCAATTTGGGACTCAGAGTTACCGAGATTCCAAAAGAACCCCCTAAACTAATAATCGGTGCAAGCAAAACTTCCTTTTCGCACGCCTTGTGCATATTCCCTCAAATACCGTTTAGGAGCCTGCTGCTACCCCAGCTAGAAATAATGAATCCTCACGTTAAGGCAATCTACAAAGATAGCCTAGAACCCCGCTCGCAGAGTTTTGTACAAACTGCCAAGCTTTTAGGTGGGTAACTCCTGGTTTTTCTTCTAGTGCAAACCGTCCCCCAGTCGGTCTGGCTATAGGCAACAGAAATGTGATAGTCGCACGATTTCCACCAGTACGAGACCAGCAGGTGGAATTTTAAATTAAGCAATTTCACTTACGATGCAAGCAGCATAGCTGCAGTACCCACAAGCTGAAGTTTTCCTCTCAAAACAGACATTGACGAAAGAAACCTATCAATGTAATTTACAGCTAAGTGCAGGGTTTCGTTCTGTAATTTGTATTCTTCTCCAACTTCCACCAGCCAGTCCACAAGAATAGCCCGCATGTTGTTTGTGATATCAGGTTGCTTCTTCATGTAACCCATTTTAGGCTTGCATTTCACCTGTAGGTTTAGATGACAGATAAGATTCAGTTTGGACTAAGCGCCGGCAGGGAAACAAGTGTTTAAGCTCCATTTACCACAGTTCAAACAGATCAGAAGTAAACAGCGGTAAGTCTAGGATCAGTAAGTTGCATTTCCATAATCTTGCTTTCCGGCTTCTGTTCCGCGCGTGGCACAATCAACTTTATCACAAGAAACCAGTCTTGCGTTCACAGCAGCGGACGCAGCATTTTATTCCTCTACGTCTAGCAAGCTTTAGCTTAGTCACTGTAACAGCGGCTAATGTTTAGATGCATTTCTCAACCCCGAATTTCTCCCCCGTAAGCTGTACGCAAACAGAAAAGAGACAGCGGCTCACCTCCATTTCCCGAAGGTACGTGTGGATATCGCTGATATAGTCTGGCACGTTATTAACGTTTGGTTTTTTCTCTTCTGCTTCCAAGGTTATTGAAATATCCATAATACTTGGAGAATCTAAGCAGAAGATAATAGCCACGTTAAAATGGGCACCATCCGACCACTCCCTCGCAGCACGGGGAGCCACCCTATTCTGTAGCACGTCGATGGTGGCTCTCCGGGACTGCTGGGCCTCTTGCCTCCGAGGCAGGCAGAGAGGGCAGACTGTCACTCAACTAGCCTGGGAGTTGAGGAGGCTCTAGGGAAGCCAAAATGTTACTGCAACAAGGAAGCTTCCCCTTCCCCTTCCTCTTCTTCCCCCTAGGAATAAAGGGATGGAAAACTCCTTGGCACTTACGTAGTGCTCAGTGCGTCCTGTGTTACCTCGTTACATAGACGTGAGTCCCGTAGGCTTAGCTACTGCGGCTTAAGACAGGGCTGGGGTACCAGAGCTTTTGGTAGACTGCCGAAGTGGACCGTGATGAAATCGGCCCTCTGATACTCACGCGCGTCTTACAGAAGACGGATCTGACAGCTCCCATTTCTTACGTACTGGGAAGAGCTCACAACCCTTGCACCAGTACAGGGTACTACCGGGGAGAAAAGTCCATGAAGCCTCAGGATCCGCCTGAGTAAAATCCCCTTCTAACTCCGTAGCGGTAGCAAAGGGGGAGGCTTTAAGGGCCGCTCTTCTTGTCTGTAATCTGGCGTCTCTCGTGAGGCACCAATAGTTAAGGTTAAAAGCGTAAAACTACCTACAAAGAGCAGGGGAGAGCGTAGAGGCTCAAGTAATTGACGGCTAGATAGGAAAGCTGTCGTATCCTACTGGCGGGCTCGAGGGAAGCAAATTGGTTTCAGCAACTGAAAAGTTATCTTCCAAGTCAAACCAAACCAGCCTACGCCCCAAACACCTTCAGGATCTGCGGTCCTCCTCCAGCTTGCTCCGGAAATCGTTCCCTAGGTAAGCACCTCGGCACGACCCTGCTCACCTCCCTGCTTTCTGGGGCGAGGGCCCCGCAGACGCGGGCGCTGCCCGGGGCCGCTGCAGAGGGAGCAGGTGGGACGGGCCCACGGAGCGCACCCAGCGCCCGGGGC